GAAATAGTAAAGATCACTAATGAAATTTTATTCATTAATTTCAATTAGTGGCGGACTCAGCTGTCAAAACAGAAACTAAGAAAGACTTCAAAGGGGAACTACTATATAGTTCAGCTTTTGGTGTCTATTATTTTGCATTAAATTATTTTCCTTCGCTTGAAAATTTCTTGTTTGTTAATAGGTTTCTCTACCACTTTCATCTAATGGATATAGGTGATCAATTGAACTCATCATTGTGCATCAAGGTGTATTTGCTTAGATGCGTGGATGTATCTGAATATAAATACTGGCCAGCATTTTTAGTCCCCTTCAACAGTTCTTTCAATGTTATTTGAAATAAATAATAAAGATGTACTTATTTATTATTATTATTATTATTTTTATATTTCCAAATTGATATCTGGTAAACGAATTTTTTGTTTGTAGTCAAATAAGTAAAATTATGAAATGGACTTCTATAATATCATTAGTTAAGTTGTGAATTAATACGTTAGGGTAAGCTGTAAAATGTGTTTCTGCAGATGTTCATAATACCATAATTAGGTTTATCAATAAATGATTTATGCCAAGAATATTTGTTTGGATGATATGTTAATATATACATATTTAGCTTCCATCAAAGAAATATGCATATTTATCATCTGCTTCCTTGTTACAAGCGGATTATTTAGGGATAAAAAAGCATTGGAATGCCCATATTCTAGCATAGTACGTAGATCCACGTTTTCTCTTAGGCTAGGATGACATATTATTTATTCTTGAAAAAATTGGCTATTGATTTCCTCTTCTATCTTTAATGCGATGCAATGTCTATAGGCATTTATCTTGTTCTTTGCTGCAAGCCTGCAATTTTATAAACCTTCCACTTGTAATACTTCTCATGTCTATTCTTAATAATTTATTTTAATGCTTTTGCCAGTTTGAAACCTCCAGTGAGCTGGAACAGATCTGTACAAGTGAGGAACGTCAAGCTTTTAATGAGAAACTTGATGAGGTTAGGATTTTATTTTGGTGGTATTGAGATGGTGCTCAATGAAGCTTATATCTCTAACTTTTTTTTTAGGTACAAGACTGGTTATATATGGATGGTGAAGATGCCTCTGCTACAGAATTTCAAGAACGCCTTGACATGTTAAAAGGCTTTGGTGATCCAATATTCCTCAGGTACTTATAAGTTGTAAATGGCTGGAGTGCCTTGGACATCCCTGAACTGGACTGAGTTTAGTATCCCAATATTAGAGTGCAATATTACCGAAGTTGGCAATTATGGTCAGTGAAGTTTAACATAGTTACCTACCTTTTTGTGTAGATTGAAAGAGCTAACTGCAAGACCCCAGGCTGTTGAACTTGCTCGCAAGTTTCTTCTTGAGCTGAAAACGGTATGCCATTTTCTTTTTGTGTTCATTCGCATGTTTTAAAATAAAACCATAACATGGATAAGACATTTAATGGTTCCATCTACCTAATGTCTGTCTTACAATTTTGTAGGTTTCACATTATAACTTATCCTTTTCTGTTTACATTATTTTAAAAAAGAAGGCGATGTCTTGATGTTATCATATTTTTGTGTCGTTTGTTAAGTATTCTGTTGGGATGATACTAGGGTTCATTTTTGGAAGGATTTTGGCTCTCTGATATTACTCTCCGTCTGTAGGTTTTGCAACTATATTTTTTATACCTTGCTAAATATATCCCAGTTTACTCTTTTTCCTGATGGGTAATTCATCCAATGTTGATTTCTAGTTTTGTTGAGCCCTTTATGATAGAGAGTGAGAGTTTGGTTCTTTGTGGTCTGCTATTAGTAGTGTTAAACTTTCTCCTGAGCAAAGAGATTTATTCTGTTCAGTTTCTAGATCCCTGGGATGTCTTCGCCTGCAAATCATTGTATAGTAGTTTGGTTTCTTCGCCCTTGTTTTCTCCTTTCTTCTCTAAAATGTGGAAGCTGAAGGTTCTTTTTGGTTGGTCACGCTTGGATTGGATTATCAGGTTGACTTTAATTTAGAAAGCTTCAACTTTTCCCCTTGGCCCCATTACTTCATTTTTTTAGGCACACTTCAAAGGATTTAAATCACTTGTTGTGGTTATGCCTTAAGCTTCAAACGTCTGGAGTTTCTTTTGGCAGACTTCTGCTATCTGTGTAGCTCAAGGCTGGAGTTTGTATGTCATGATGTAGGAAGTTGTGTTGGTTCCTTCTTTTCAGGATAAAGGCCGATTACTTTGTCAAGCTGGTTTCATTGTGTTGTTGTGTGGCATTAATGGTTAGCAAGAAATAGTAGATTTTTTTCAGGTTTTGATAATTTGATAATACATGTGAAGAAGTATGAGGTCTAGTGCATGTCAACGCTTCTCTTTTGAGTTTTTTCATCTAAAATTTTATGTAATTATCCTTTTGTTTGATTACGAACAAATGGGACTTATTTTATGTAACTTTGTCCCTATGTTGGTTTGGTCATATCTTTGTGTGCCCACTTTTTGTAGTTTCATTCATGAAAATTGGTTTCTTTCTAAAAAAATAATTAGAAATTGACTTTTTTGCCCTTTGAACAATTGCAGACCATACAAAACTGGGAGACCAAGAAGCCGTGGGTTCCAAAAGATAGAATTCAAGAGGTAAGATTTTACATTTTGTTCTTTTCTTCTTTTGTATTTATGAGCGATCTTGAATTGCTCTCTTTTGATTCCTGTTTTTTTGGGTAATTTGCTGTGTGCCTTCTCTAGGTTTCAAATGATGGAGATAAGTTCAAGATCTGGTTGGATGAGAAGGAAGCTGAACAGAAGAAGTAAGTTATCTAATAATTCTCAATGTCTAGTTTCTGGCATCTCCCTGGTTTTAGTCTCCTATGCTATTTTGTTTATGCATATACTCTTTTGGTATCCTGGTCGATGCTCTTTCTTTATAAAACTATCATTGAATGAAAGGAAGTGTTGGTCAATAGACGTCTAAATTGATTCTTTTCAGTGTGGAAAATTCTTACACGGGGATATCAAATATCAGATTTGTAACTGCACGTATTTATCTGAGGAATTGACTTTGACTTCAGATTCTTTGCCTATTTTTTAGTCTGGAAAGTCGTTACAAAAATAAGTTTGAATTTTCATTTGCAATTCATGACCCTGAAAACTTGACGCTATTTGTATGATTACCATTCTAATATGATGATATTGTATTCATCATATTGCATAACAGTTGTCTTTTGATGTCTTATCTTTTCTTGACGTTCTTTATTTTTTATGCTATGAAATATTGAATGGGTTGGTTTAGATCACCATCCTTTTGGTGATTATTAAACTGGCAAGATTAGTTCATTTGTTCTGGTTCGCTGTTGGTATGTATAGTAAGTTAATAATTACTATTTAGTAGGCTATTTTTCCTCTGCCAACTAAGTTCTATTTCTATTGTGTTAATTATATTACCAAGATTCCCTTGCACTCTGATCGAAGGTTAATTTGTATTATAATTCTATTAGCTCTCACTCTCAGCGCGAGTTTTGATTACGAACTTTCTTGTGTTCATCCACTTCTAACTATTATTCATGTTAATAAAATTATCAAACTGAATATTTATTTGAAGTTCGTTGTTTTCATTGAGGAACCACCACAACTACCATACGGAAAAAATGGACTAAATGGTTCCTTTGTGTAGGAATTCGGCATCCAGCACCCCAGCATTTACATCCGAAGATGTATACTCGAAATTCCTTATTCTTCAAGACAAGGTAATTTGCTGCTCTCAATTTGAAGAAAGCAACACTCCCAAATCCTTGTTGGTAGCAGATTTCTTCAAGTACTATATATATTACCATTATCAATATGTATCTACAGGTTACCAGCATCGACAGGATTCTGAAACCAAAGCCTAAGATCGAGAAACCCGTGAATGAATCAGAGAGCTCTAATTCGTCGACTGATGAGAGCTCGTCTCAAGGCGACAAATCAGCCAAGGACTCGGAGAATCCAGCAAGTGAAGATTCCAAGCCCGAGTCCAAAACCGAAGCCGAATCTAACAATCACGACGAGTTATAGTAGAATTACAATAGGTAATTAGTTCAAGTTTTGATTTTATGCCTCCTAGATTCGAGATATGAGAGGTCCTAGGGGAAGATAGAGTGGAGATGAGATGAGATGAATAGCGCTGTGTAAGAGGACAGTATATTCTAATGCCCACTTGATTAAAAAGTAGCTCAACCCTATACGTAAACAACTTTGTGAGTTTTGAATCTTTTGATTATTTGTTTTACAGATCAGAAATTTTGTTGAGTACTATAAATTCGTGTACTGTTTTAAAGAAAATCAAAGAAAAGTTACCTCTGGATGTGCTGTGCAACACACGGTTTTAGTTCTATTTTTTTTTGGTTAAAATACTATTTTGCTATTAAATTTGAGTTTTGGTTCATTTTAGTTCTTTCTATGGTTCATTTTAGTTCTTCTATCTTTATAATGCAATTGGTTTTAGTTTCAACTTTTTCTTTTTTGGTTAAAATACTATTTTACTCCGTGTACTTTGAGCTTTGGTTTATGTTCTATTTTCAAAATGTTCATTTTGATATGTGTATTTTAAATTCTGGTTCATTATAGTCTCCGTACTTTCAAAATGTTCATTCTGGTTATTGTATTTTTATAAAGTGACAACTTTGATCTCTACTTTGAAAATTTTTAAAACAAATTCTACATCTAACAAAAATTCTTTAATATAGAATCATGGTTACATTTTTAATTAATATATTAGATGTAGTGTTGTGTTAAAATTGTGGTAGAAAAACGAAAAATTAGGGGACCAAAATAACCAAAGATTTATTCAAAACTAGAATGAACATTTTGGAAGTATGACCAAAATGAACTAAAGCTCGAAGTAAAGAGATGTTAACCCTTTTTTTCTTATTTTTAGATTGCTGCCAGATTGTTTTCTTATGAATGAAGGTACACCATGTCGCCAATTTGAAAATGTTTCATGCTCATATTCTTGCGAGTCCAAGTATGGTTCACTTTAGATTTTGTCGGAATAATTACAATTTTATCATATGACAAAATATTTTGCCTGGGAACCAATCACTAATAGTGATCTGTTAATGATAAGTATGCTAATGTACTTCCTATAATCAATATTGTTGTCTCAAAGATAACCTCAAAGATAACCTCTTCTGAAGTGTTGAGAACAAGGGACTCGAACTCACAATCTCTTGGTTTGAGGTATATACCAATTACCGTTTGAGCTGTACTAACTTTGACCGATTAGTCTCTTCAACATTCATCGAGTTTTTTTTTCCCTTTTCTCCAAGGAAAGACTAGCGAGGAGATTCTTAAAAAAAAAAGACTTTTCCTATTAACTATTTTGAGCCACACTATATAAATCATATACAAGGTGCAAATTTTTTTCCTATGTAACAAATTTACAATATGGCAATCAGTTTTCCCACCTATTATATATATATATTTTTTTTTGAAATCCGTGTGTCCGGACCAGCTTGCGCACATTTCGACTAATCACGGGTCAACCGCCTAACCCTACTACACTCGTAGGATATTAAATCCTAGGTAGGTGGCCAGTTTTCTCACCTATTATAGTTTCGCGGGTCAACCGCCTAACCCTACTACATTTGGTTGACAAGGTAACTCGTAAGATATTAAATCCTAGGTAGGTGGCCAGTTTTCCCACCTATTATAGTTTTTCCAAAATATTACCGTCGAGTGACGAACCCTTAAACCCGTGCTAGGGACTGCTAATCTAAGACCTAACATTACAAATTTGTCAATAAGATTTTTTAAAGTTTCTAATGGAAAGAGATGGAATCCTTACAATTATATATTTCTAAAGAAGAAAGAAGATTGACATAAAATGAGCAGGAGCAAAGCTTCGACTCACTCCAATATATACAGACACATGCGCACGTGATGGGTGATGAACAATTCAATGATAATGTTCTTGCAAAACTATACCAAACAATTAAGAGGATCTGGAATCTATAAAAATTCCTATTTCTTTTTCTGGTTTGTGTGTATGAATAATACATGCTAATGCTATATTGCTATGCTTATATATTCTGTTACACAAGTCTGCGAGCGAGCCACTTTTCTGTCCTCAAGGTAAGAAGACAGTCCTTTCGTTTTGAAGAAAACTATATGGCATATTCTTGTGTTAAGCTACTTTCCAAGGTTTCTTACACAAGAAATCATGAGGAAAGGAAGGTGACAACTGACCAGAAGTGAAGATCTAGAAAAGCCAATGCTTTCGTCTAGGCGTTCTCGAGGGAAGATCTGCACGAAGATCCAGTAGAAGAAATCTAAGCCACTCATCAGCAAGAAAAGCTAATGGAACAGAAAAAAACCAGGTGAATCTAACTAGGTATGTCACCTCCACTGGCATACAGCGAATTATAATGCACTTCACACCAAAAGCTAAGCCAAAGTTCTGCCAAGATGAAAGGGTTGCCAAAATTAGATTATACAGAGAGGCCTGACTAATTTAGATAATGTCTCAATCAATGTCCTTAAATTGTGATGCAGATATATGCTATTACGTATTACGCTCAATTGTATAACTGATATGGAACTGAAATCTTTACCTTTGTTGGGATTATTGTCTTTGGGAAGGATCTCAATGTAACAGGTGTCTCGGAAAGATGTGACTAAACAGATCTTTGCAGCAAACTACAAATTAATATGAAATCAATAGTCACGGAATAAACTATAATAATAGAGCATTAAAACGACAGAAACAATATCGACTTGGCTAAGATGGAAGGAAATAGAGGAACATTAATCATCCGACATTATAAGTTGGAAAGTAGGAAACTCCTCAAGATATTGAGGGAAATAGAGGAACATATGCTCACACACAAAAGATGTTGAGGGAAAGAGAAAAAAAAAAAGGAAATCCACCTGCACATGTTTTTATATTAACCTTTAGGACATTTAAACATGACAGAGAATACAAGATGATCTTTCGGTGAACAAAGGCAGCATACAAGGTTTCAAGTATTAGATATTTATAAAATAATTTTGTACACCTAATGCCAAATTGTATCTTTCAACCCCAACTCCCAGCAGTGCAACAAGAATTCATAAAAAGGAGTTTCATAGCAGATACAAAAGAACAAGCATTCAACTCACTCTGTCTGCAGCTGCTTGTAGAGTAACATGATCTCCCCATTCCCCTGATCTAGTGAAAAACAAAGTTCTATGTTAAAATTGAACACATTACTCAATTCAGAAGACCAGCTATGCCATCTTGAAAGGGGAGAAGTCGATAAGCATAGTCATAGATAACTAACTTTTTCATCTTCTTGAGGTAGCTTTTGTACTTCATTGGAACATAGCCTTCATATATTTTTCTGAATTTCTTTAACTGAAGTGGGAGGAAAACAGGAAAATGTGAAATAAGAAAAGTATGGAAAGTATGCTTTTTAGCTATTTCCCACAAGTAAACCGAGACTAGGTTGAAGTATGATGGAAAAAAGGGGAGGTACTGAAAAAATGGATCTGTATTAAAAGCTATGCCACATGAAGTGCAGGCTATTGGTCTGACAATATTTCAAACTTATGCAAGAATGGTGTTCAATAAAATTAACTGCATAAGTTAATTTGATATACATTGCGATAAACACAACTCAACTAGAAACTGGATAGTGATGCAAAGGAATTAGTAACAGAAAACCAGTAACATTTTCTGTTATTCTGTCTCATACCAAGTTTGGGAAGGGAAGCAGTCGAAATTGTGGGTGAAATTTGCAAAAGGTAAGTTGATTTCCTCCCACAACCTTCGAGTCTCAATCATTCTTTTGTAATCCCTACTTTTCAAGAATAAGACTACTACTACAATAGTGCAGCTATTCGAAGAGATTCTCTCAAGTCAAATTCCTACTAATGCAATTTCATTCTTATTCAGAAGATCTGCAGAAACTTCTAAATTGGGTTGGATAAAAAAATCAAATGCGATCATCTCCATTAACACCCTTCTACATACCATTCTAGGGTCCAAATGGAAGCTAGCATATGGTGCTTTTCAAGGTTGTAAGGAATCAAAGATTATATGGGATAACTTGAAATATTTTGTATATTTATTAATTGAATCTAGACTTATTTCACTGGCTATCAACTCCAAAGAATTTAGAACCAAAGCTTATAGAATATCAATATTCTATGATTACTTCTAAAACATTAACCTTGACCTCAAAGACATTTAAGTTCACCCAAGGTAATATTAAGATACCTATGGTGCTTGGAATAAAGACAGACAGACCTCCATTACATAAGCACGCGTCTCACATATAACATAAATCCCTTAATAAACATTTATCATTCTCTTTTTGATATTAATGATTGTCCGGGCCAGATTATGCACACCTCGACTAATCTCACGGGACAACCGTTTGGGCCTACTAGATTTGGTTGCCAAGATAACTTGTAGGATATTAAATCTTAGGTAGGTGGCCACTATGGTTTAAACCTATTTCCTCTAAACCATTTACTATCTATATTGGACCTATTGACCAGGTCAAACCATGATGGTTGATAACCATTCATCAAATTCTAGAAACATTTATTTTAACCAACATTCATCACAAAATCTAAGGCGACGACAGTGATTGAACAGTCTAAATGATTATACACATCAGTAGAGTTCAATTATACCTGTTTGATGACTGCTCTTCTTACATGCTTGTGGTAATCAGGATTTCGAAATAACTGATCTGCCAATGCCCGAAACTATTAATACATAAAAAAAGATATATGTTATTTGAAACATCATGAGATGAATGAACAACAAAATTCAGGATAATTATAAGTTTCAATACAAAAAGATATTGACAAGAAGTAGTTAAGACCTGGCAATTCCCATCACCTTCCATCTGTAGCTCCGCTAAACCATATGTGACCAGTCTGTTTTTATTTTTTTTTAAGAAAAGGACTCTGTTACATAAGCTACATTGTATGCACATCAAAGGACAAGGTACAGTAAGTCAAAGTTAAATGTCAATTCTTCAGGCAATAGAATTAATGGCTACCGTCATTTCTTTAGCATGAGATTGTTCCTTGAAGTTAACTTTCTTGGATGTCGCACTTGATAGAAAATCAATACCTTTCTGAGAGCCGCTCATGGTCTAAGGTTGCATCATTCACGTTTGGTATCTCTCCATTAACCCGAGGAGTATGCTGCCATGATCATAATAAATCAGCACTTTTAATAATGATAACCTTCCAGAACTTTGTAAATCTCAGAGAATAATGCATGGAATTTTTTTTTCATTACAGATTGAAGGTGGATATAAATAAATACACAAGTACAGGTGCGCCCAATTGATGGTATCATTATAAAGATTAATCTAACGCAGCAAAAAGTTGCTGTCAAATTGTAAAAGCTCTGCAGCAACATACAGTTGCTATACTAAAAGTAATATAAATGATATCAAGACAAGTGACAATACTTATGATATACAGTTACACCAGAACAATGAAGTCTCAGGTATCCTAGTGGCATCACTCCATGCCTGGTGGTGATCTTATACTCAAGATCAGAGAGAACTTCAAAGAACTTGACCAGACTGCGGGATTTCCCCAGTGGGAAAGATATGAAAAGCTATCAATAACAATCTAGAAGTCCTAATTCCCATGTAAGTATCAATACCCATGACCTTATGCAAAAAAGGGTTCCTTTCAGCTCGACCTCCCCAGGATGGTGCTCTGTGTAAAAGGGATTTGGACTTCCAAGGACATCTTTTCAACACTTGCTCAATTGCTAGAAATTTCTAGAATTTCTTGCTCCACGGTTCACGGTTACAATCAGTGGGTGGCTCTCCCCATCGACATCAACAACCTTCTCTCCTTATTCCTTGAAGACCACCCTTTTGGAAGAGACAGGAAGATTGTATGGCTTCAATTTTGATAGCTTTCTTTTCCTTTTGTGGCTTAAGAAAAACAATGGAGTCTTACAAGAAGGAAAAGCCTCTCAATAAAAGACTATGCCATTTTTGTAGCCTTTTGTGGGGTAAATGTTATGTCCCTTCCAGTACTTACAGTTTAAATTCTATTTGTGCTGCTTGAAAGATTTTTTCCTAACTTCCATGGCTTGGAGTTTGGCTACCTTCCCTCTTCAGTTTTTAATTTCATACCATCAACAAAATTACTTTGACTAAGAAAATCCACAAATCTTTAGTTCTACCTTCAATGAACTTGCAGCTTTCATGTTCGGGAACAGTTCACCCAATTTGTTAATTACCCAACTAAAACTGAAATCTACCGTTTTTTTCTTTTATGAAAGAGGATTCAAATGACCACATTAAAATTCAATAGAACCTTGCATTCACAACATATATAACAAGAGTAAAATCATCCAATCAATGCAGCAATTAACAAAATAGAAAGAAGTTCGTACAGGGATGGAATCCAGATGAGAGAGTCTCTTCCCAAGCTTGTTATCAAACTTCGAGTTTTCTTCCTCTGCCAAGATTCTAGCAATTGTATGATCATCCTCAGTGTCCTGGAAGCTGCTATTCAAACTCGAACTTGAGCTTTCAGTCATATTACCTTGAGAACCACGAGTTGCTAGAGAGAGAAAGTAATCTGGATTAGAGAAATAATTCATGTCAAAGAAAACTTGTCTGAGCTCATTATAAGTTGATTGACCCCCATGTAGCAAAAAATTAATTGCATTTATTTGCCTCTCTTTGCGTAAGGAACAATTGTAATGAAAAAAGATTACAGAAGAAAGAGGGGGCTGAAAATTTAACCCGACCTATTAGCTAAAGAGATGAGATTACAAAAAGTGTTCCACATTCCCAAACCTGTATCTATCTCCCTTCCTAAGAGCTAATAAAATTTCAAATTCCCAACTTTCCAAGGCTTTCACAAGTGGCAACTGGCAGAGACCGAAGTCATCCAGATGACTCTAGGCTCACAATATCACAAATTTAAGAAAACGACTTATAAATTGATGCTTAAAACAGATAAACAATACTTGGAAGCATTTTTTTTTATGCAAACGCTAGAAACAATTTGGAAAGGGAAAGCATCCATCTGGCAAATCAAACTTCATAAGAATCAATAAACTTTGTTCAAGATCCATCCTATGTTGCCAACGAAACGAGAAAGAGAGGCCAAAAGCTAAAATCCAGTCAAATACATGTCAATCAGTGATGCTCATCTATATCCATTACTTATCACTTCGTCCATGAATCAAGCCACCTGTCTGGTTTCTGCGCAATATTGAGATAGATCAAAAGAGAAATCGCACCTTAAATTCTTTCAGTAGTTATCAACCCTAGTAAATCGAATGCACCACAAATTTCGCTATCCTAAAATGCGACAGAATTTTCTCACCAACCAGAGCAAGCTACGAAGGCAAGCAAAAAGCCAATAATTAAAAATATGTGATAACCAAAATCAAAATAACCTCAACCGAGGGGCGGATTAGAATACCTGGAATCCAAATCGGAAGCAATTCAAGTAAGATCGAGCTAATTTGCTGCTGAGAAAATCAATGGGTTTCTAAGCTAACACTCCCGCGGTTGCGGGTGAATTTTGCCAAAATCTCACAATAAAACCTCGACTAATCCTTCAACTTGACATAAATTAAATTTAGTAACGCAAAACGGAAGAGCCAAATTCTTCCACTTTCTGTTCAGTCGTTTCCCGGCGGCCAAACACAGGTTAATGAAGCTTAAGCTGAAGAAAATGCGACCAACAAGAAGAGTTGCCAATTGGGACAAAGTCTTCTAATTTTTTTACGTGTACGTACTTAAAAATTAAATTTGAGCATCGTTAAAAAAAAAAATAATAAATTAAATTAAATTTTATGTTTAAACTTTAAATACATTTTTGGTCTCGGGTTTGTTTCACTTTGATTTTTGAATATTTTTTTTCTTTAAAGTTTATTTTGATCCACTATCATTTTAATTTTTATACTTTGAACGTTTGTCTTGATATTTGTACTTTTTAAAATGATTAATTTTATTCTTATTTTAACATAAATTTTACCTACAATGAACTATCATAAATTTTTTCTTTTTTCTTTTGATAAAATGAACTATCATAGAATTATGATAAAAAGAAATGATATAAAAATGAAAATAAAGGGATCGAAATAATCACTTTTTTAAAATATAGGACCAAAATAAATGTTTGAAAAATTTAGAGACTAAAATAAAAAGTAGAGAGATGAAAATAATATTTAAATAAAAAAGTTCCAATTTATGTTTCCAATTTGATACAAAAAGTTTGAAAAATTATATTTGGGTCCGACTAATTTTAGTTAGTTCTAGATTCTGTCGCTACTGTTAAAACATTTAATAAAAAAATTTCCCGAATAATTATTTTCTGATGTTTGTGAATTAAAATGTTCAAATATTTTCTTTGACCACTGAACACGCTTTGAATTTTATTTCTTTTCAATTTTAAAATAAATGAGGTATAATATGTATATTCTCGTATTTATATCGATAAGGTACTAATTTTACGTAGATGTTAAAGTTTTCAAAGTCAAAAAGAAAGTTCTGTTATGTTTAATTCACGTGCACTTTTTAATTATACTGTGACTACTCGTTATTTGCTTGTAATTTATTCTTAATCAAACTAAATATCAATAATAATTAAATATTAATTTTTTGTCGACATTTTCAATTATCTATGAATTCGACAAAGATTGAATTAACTTGTAAAAAATTGACGAAATAAAAAAATATCACTGAAAATATATGACTATTATTTTCATTATTATTTAAATCTTAACTTATTAAAATTGGTAAAATATTTTTATTTGTTAAATTTAGATAATTTTTATGGTCCAGAAATATTCATCGACATTTTGATATTTTTATAAAATTGAGATCTCGATGTATTTTAAACTTGGACAATAACATCACTTTTAGCACAAAGTGATGATAAAAACAAATCATATATTAAAAGATTATGATCGGCCACAAATCATGTTATATGACTGGTCTAACGACATGTGAATGCAGCACTTCAAACACATGATTCAACAAACATTGATATTTAAGGAAACTGTAAAGAGAAAAGAGATAATAAAAGAATTGAGCGAAGTTTTTTCTATCTCTAAAACTCAAAAAATGAACCACCTATCTATGAGACTATTTGTTAGCCAGTTATAAAGATTGTTGTATTTTTTATAAAAGGATATATCCTTTTTATATAAAGTTATGTCATAAAAAGTTATAAAAAATATTTTATTCAATAAATTCCAACTTGCAAAACACTTTTTAGTTTTTTTTTTTTTTACTTTTTCTTTTTCCTTCTAAAACATTCATAAATCACTTTTATATACCTAGGATAAGTTTGAGTAGAAAGTGCTTCTAAGGGAGACAAGAAATGATTCAAATCTTTTCAAAAAGCACTTTTAAACAACAATAATATTTACATATTGATGGGAGGTTGAACTTTAGTGGGAAGCTTTTGTGTGTCGATGTTGAGATCATTAGTGAAGGCTGTAAAGTTGGAGTTGATTGTGCAATTGGCCTCCTCTCCCATTGCCCTCTCATGAAGCTTCATCAGCCTCTCCTTCATCTCATCTCCCTCCATCACTTTCCTCACTCCTTCCTCAACCTCTTTCTCTCCAAATCCATTCAGCTTCAACCCAATCCTCCACACTTTCACCACATATCCACAGTTGAGAAACTGGTCGCCGGCCACCGGAAAACACAGCAGCCGCTTCCGGCACTCTATCGCCTCCATGATCGAGTTCCACCCGCAGTGAGTCAGATAACAACCGACCGCTCTGTGCCTCAAAATCTCCCTTTGAGGAGCCCAAGATACTAGTCTCCCATAGCTCCCAACCTAGTATAGGAGAATATGAATAAATCAAGTTCTGAAATATTTGTAATGTTGCTTTCTTTCTCATTAATATCGATCGTTTAAATTCTAAGTTGATAGAGATTGTCAAGAACGTGAAATACATGATTATATACTATAGCATAGTTAAACGTTCTATTAGATTAGAGTTGTACTCCAATCCTATAATGTCATTTCTTCTCTCGTTAACATTCGCACGTTGATTTGTGATAATTTTCAAGAAATTATATTTTTCAGTTGACTTGACAAGATAAAAGACTTCTCTTTATGGAAAAAGAAAATCACCACTAATAGGTACGATTAGGAAAATATTGTTCATTTTCAACCTTACAAACACTATCACTTTTACCATCTCACCTTCTCATCTAAAGAAGTGAGACTCAAGCATTTCATAGTCAAACTAAAGTTAATTAATTTTGACAAAGACGAGTGAAATGTGGAAAATATAGAAATGTTGTCAAATTTTTAATAACGGTGACCATAGATAGACATTAATCAGCGAGACTAAGATATTGATGGATAGGAAATAAAAGTAGAAAAAGAGATTTTTTTTTGTCCTGTATATACTTAAAAAACTGAAATTTTGACGGGAGTCGGTTTAAGAGTACCTTGTGAGTGAAGCCAATGGGCAAGCCATGTCGCCAATTGGGTCTGAGAACCCAGATGAATGGGGTTCGGAGGGCGAGAAGCGCCATGGCCAAGCTTCTCACTTTGGATTCACCGATTGGGCTGACCCAGCTGCCGAACGAGATGTACACCACCGAGTCAGAGCTCTGTTTCTCCAGCCACTGCAGGCAGCTGCCGTCTTCTTCCCAGAATGTGGGCGTTTTGGCCGGACTCGAGTGGCGGCTCAGAGGCCCGACCAGAAACACGGCGGCGCCGGAGCTACTTTTGGGCGTGGGGATCAGCTCTTCTACTTCCGGGAAGGAATTTACGAGGAGCCATTTCAGGGACTTGGCTCGAGCCATGGTTCTGATCCAGAATTCGAACCTCCCTTTTCTTGCCGACGAAGTTCCGATCAGCCATGGCAGTTCTTCAGCCGATAGCAGCGGCTCGTTCGGAACGCGCCGTTTTGATCCCCCCTCTACTGGACTTCCTGCTATGTTAATGTCATCGGTGGTTCAGATTTCCCCAATTCAAATAATAATTAAAATAAAACAAAAAAATTGAAATTTTTATTTTTTTATTTTTCTTTGGAGAGAAGATAAATACTTTAACGTAGACTACCATTAATTTTTTTAAAAAAAAATAGGTGAGAAAGAATGTGGAAATGGATATTATTTTTAGTTTTTTTCTTTTTCTTTTTATTATAATTTTTTATAGTAGTTAGCAAAAAGAATAGGAGTTATATACTATTCTAGATCCCTTCATCAAAATTAATTAAAAATGTCACATCATTTTAAATTAAATTCTGAGAGCTAAAGAGTCGTCAATGATTATAATTTTGGAAACGTATCTTGAAAAGATCAAGAAACAAATTAAATTTCTTCTCTTATTTACTACGACACCTTAATTATTGATACACGTCCATTTGATAAATAGATCGAAATTTTCGTTCAACAACTAGCCGGATTGGATTATTTGTGCCCTCTTGTTATTAATGGGATCAGGGATAATACTTCCAACAATAACTATATGGAAGAGTTGGTTCCGACTAGTAAAAAATACTTCCCTCCTTGCAACTGCATCATTGAAATGAAAGCACAAATAAATGGTACCGACGATTTATGTATTAGTTCCAGAAGAACGAAGAAAAAAGAAATGTTTCGTAATTAACGGAAACAAAAGATAAAGATTTTTTTTTAATAAGGTTCAACTCATGATGAAACAAGAAATACTTGTACATGGATTTTGAAAATAAGAACTTAAAAGAGAGAGATGAAATTATAGTATGAATTAAAGTAATTATAATCCAAACCCAAAATCCATGGATTAAAACAAAGAGTAGAGCTGACCTGTATGAGAAGAAATAAAGCCGTTTTGGACCATGTTAGGAATAGCAGAAATCAAGCGATAGGTGGCGAACATGGCCGGCCAAAACCCGGCCACCGGCACTCCGAGCTCTCTTCCGACTCTGATGGCCGACGAAGCAAGCAAATCCACCACCATACCAGCAACGCCGCCGCCGAGGTCGCCGAGAAGCCGCTTGAGGTGGGCTGGCATGGCGGTTTCTAGGACGGTCTCGACGGCGAAGAAGTCACGCTGCGTGTCGTCGTCGAGACCGTCGGCTGGTATGGAAATGAAGAGAATATGTTGATGGGTAGGGGATGAAATTTGGCGATGGATGTAGTTGGGAGTGAGGAGGATGGGGAGGAAGCCATGGCGATGAAAGGCAGTGGCGAGCATGAGCATGGGAGTGACGTGGCCCTGAGCTGGATATGGAACCAATATCACTTTTGGCTTCTCTGAGAAAACTTTCATGTCTCACATTCACTCTATCAATATCTCTATCCAATTCCACAAAAACTACACCACAAAATGCCAATATATAGGAGTGGGATGGTGTGGGGGTCATATTAAACATGTGACATATATATATATACTTTTTTTTCTTTATCTGCATTTCTCTACCTGGACGGATTCATATAACTTTTTATTTCAGGAGGAAAAATACTTGGGGATCAAATCTTGTCATGGTCACCAATTAAAAATTGACGATTTATTATTTTTCTTTAAAAAAAAGGTAATATTCAATGGTGATAGGACAAAATTAATTCTTACGGTTAATGAGCCAAATATTTTCCTATAAGGAGCACTAATTCATATAAAGGTAATTTTAGTCATATTCTCTATATGTTTTGACGTGATTTGTTGGATAAGAAGTTCGGCTAATTTATAAAAAGAATGAAGCTTGAAATTAACAAGCAGAAGAGTTATGGTTTTTCTATTTCTACCATCAACTGATAAAATTTTCCATTCAATATATAATATCAAGAAAAAAAATCAAATTTAAAAGAAGAAATTGAAGCAAAAATTATAATGTTATTGTTATTATATATATATATATATATTCTTTAAAAGAAATAAATATATGTAATTAGCATATACCTCAAATCAAGAGGTTATGAGTTCGATCCTCACCCCCATGTTGTACTGAAATACAAAAAAAAATTAACAAAAACAATATATCCATTCAAGAAATATGGAAAATTTACTGTATGTTTATCCATTATATACATTACATAGTAAAAGTATTATATATATGTACATAAAAGGAAATATATGACAAATTTATCATATATAACCGAGTAAAATTTGACCACAAAAAGAGTTTGATGAGCCGATAGGCAATTTTATAGAAAATATTTGGCTCCTTATCAAGTCGTTCATCATCACCATATTAAATGTTTTTCAATAAATTTTCTGAGTCTAACTTGTCCCTCCTAAATATTTGAAAATTAGGACATAGAAACGTGAAAACAAATTTTTTTAAAAAAAAAAATGAGTTGTCAAATTTTCACTAGTGATAATAACATGATTTGATTGAAAATTTAACTAATAGGTAACTTATTAGCCACAAAATTAAAACTTTACTTAGAAATTATAAATATTAATTTGGTGTACATGAAATATTTTAATAAATAGTAAAAATGGATGAATTGATTGATTGGATGGATTCAAAATTGAATTATTAATCGTTTATACAAGACTTTAGAAAAATCAATAAATTTTCGTTATTATCTTATTCCTCTTGTTCACTTGTTTCAAACATGTATAAAATATAATGAAAGAATTTTAAAGAGATTGATTCCATTCGTCCAACTAATTCATATAAATATATAATATATAATTATTTCTTTACATGTTTGATTGAATGGGGGTTGATTCTTTTATTTTCTTTAGCACAAAATGAAAATTAGTTGATTTTTTTTTAATTCATACAAAATTTTTGAAAAATCAATACAAATTCTATGTGTCAACCAGACAGTTAATGCATATAACTCTCAAATTCAATGCCATTAATTATTTCAAACTATTAGCTATTTTTTTAAGAAAGTTCAATCAAAACTAATATAATTAATAAACTTTTAAAGATCTATGTCAATGTCATAGCCAATTGTTAGAGGGTCTTTTTGTAATTACATACCAATCCTCGTGCGTATATATACAATGATGATGAATTTTTCCAAAAAAAAAAAGAAAAAAAAAAGGGGAGAGAGAGAGATGAAAATGGTGTGTGGCTTATTGAAGTGAATTGCACTTTTTGCTTTAATGCTCTCTCTTTATTTAGGAGACAAAATTGGTAAAAAGGCACATCCACACACCACCTTTCAACTTTGAAGGTTGGTATTTAGGTTTATGGCCACTTAAGATTATTCTTTAATTTTGGCTAATAACTTTAATATTTTTACACTTTCTCCTTTCACATGCTACTTATTTTATTTTGCAATGACCAAAGCATAGAAGTTTCCTATATATAAAGTCATAATAACAACAAGGTGAATAATAAAACATATTCTTTGACTAAAGACTATATGGTAATAATTCATGACTAGAAAAAGTAAAAAATCAAAGTGGACTATATGTTAAAATTTAATTGAGGGTGCTCAAGACGTTATTTATTTTATTAGGAATTTATATATATTTCATAGTTTTAAGAAGGTGTAGGATCGGGAAAAAAAAGTGTAAAGCAGTTCTTGTAAAACTTCACATTTGCCATTGGTAAATATAAATATGAAGATTTGAATTATAAAGATTATTGACTCTGTATTTTAACCAACTGAAATACGCTGAGGTTGGCAAGTCATGACAAAATTTGACTATACAGTACATAATTTAAATAATCTAAAATTATATACCAAATATATATAATACTTGAATTGCTGCAATTAAATTGGTAATTTAATGGACAACATAAACATAACTCATCTTGTTGGTTAGAGGTTAAACTTCTCAGTTCAATATGTGTTGTATTAAAAAAAATTTGGTAATTTAATTTAATTAATAAAACAAAATTAAAAAAAGAAAAGAAAACGGCGCGTACATTGCGCATGCTCCGTCGTAAAAGGGGACAAGAGAAGGCAAAACACGTGGCTATGTGAGCGATTGCGATTGTAACACGTGATGAAAAATGTATTCTATTTAATTTTAATATTAAGTTCAATAATTTTCTAGATAATATTGGATTCAATTATGAGAGTGTACCTTTTCCAGTTCCTCATGACTCTCAATTTTATTTATTTATTTATTTTATAATAATGACCCCTAATTAATTAATATTATATATTATTTTAATTTAACTTGGCTGCCGACTTATATGTTCTCTGAATCAAGATAGCCCCTATACGCTATATATAATGCCTATTGATTTTTTCCCCAAAAAAGTATAATCTTAAATAGTTAAGAAAAATATAATCTAAAATAAATTTCTAAAAACACTTAAAAATTGTCACGTCACTAATCCCAAGTAATTTACTTGAGAACCATTTAGAATTAAATTTAAAAGTATCAGAGATTAAAAATATCCATTTTAAAAGATCAAGGATTAAATAGACACCAAATTTAAATTTTAGTGATCAAAATATATTTTTATCTAGAAATAAATATGGGATCTTAAATTAATTCTATTGCACATGGTCGGCCATACAATTAAATTTACGTAATCCATCAATTTAAGCTTTGGTTTGAGTGGTGATTTATTGATCCTTAGTATGAATGGATGATTATTTTTTTAGTTTAAATAAAAATGGATGATATTTGAATTATTTCGCTAATGTTAGAATCTGGAATTTTGATAAATATATGTATTTAAATATTTAGTTAGTTTGAAACGTTGCATAACTTTTTAATTAATTAGATAATTCAATTAGATTCCACCACTTGCAAAAAGATTAATTGATTGTAATTGGTTTATTTATATATTTTTTACTTTAACCAAATCAAGTTGTTTCTCTATAAATTTCAAGAGTCCCATTTAACAAACATTTTTTTAAATCATATCTATTAATATATAAGGGTTTATGCTTATTTATAAAAAAGTAAAATAAAATAAAAAATTTGAACATTAATTATTCTAGATTCCAGTACCTATTAAAAAGAATGATATAATTTAATTTAGAAAGTCAACGAAATTGATGTTACAAGTAAAAAATAGATGTAATGTATTTGCTTACATAATTAAGATAGATTGCAGTTAGGATTAATTTATAAAAGTATCTTAAAAACTATGTGCTTAATTAATATAATAAATTAAAAAAAAATCAAGTTGGTCATAATTAAAGTGGAGGTCAAATTATACCATAGCAACATTTATTGGATATCACCTCCCAAAATAGAAACCTTGCCGACTTGAGTTCCAATTCATTGTATAATAAAATTAAAATATCAAACGTTTTTAGTCCAATAAACTTTATTCCATTTATCAATATAAATTACTTTATTATAAGATAAAAAAAGAAAGTGGAAACGTTTGTTATGTCAATTATCTGTTGCAGACACTAAGATTGAAGCCAACATGATGTAACGTGAGACGTTATTAAAATATGTGTCCACATATATATAATGAGATATTTTATATTATAAATTTAGTCTTTCAAATTTTTATATAATAGATCTTAAATTTTAAAAATTATTTCATAAATTTTAAAAGTTTTCATTTGTACGTCTAATATTAAGGACCTTTTAAAAGTTGTTCGCTTAATCCATTTTAAAAAGTTTAGAAACTTAATAGATTTTGTAAAGATATTTTTAAAACCCAATTCTAAAATTTTAGCTTGTTACAGGTTAAAGATTCTTCAACAAACATTTTTAATGGATTTATTTTCTATAATAGTCCAATTGTGTTGAGTTAGATAAATTATTATAGACGGGTCATATTAAGTAATTAGTAGATTATCTTTGTTTTTGTGTCTCATACATAATTAATTTACGCACTTCTCGACTAATTTAAAGTAAGAAGATTTTTTTTTTATTTTTATAGGATATGCAATTATATATAAGAAAGGAGTTATTTATTTTTCTTTTTTTTCCTATAACAAGGGATTTATTTAAAAAAATATGTATTTTAATGGCACATGCCATTATAATATTAACAAATTCTAATATTTTGTTACGGTAAAATTTTAAATAAGAAATGCAATTAGAGATAAAATTTTATATTTAATTAGGTCAGAATTATTATTATCATTACGAATTGTGTGGTTATTTTTGAAATATTATAATTAGACTATAATACAAATACGAGATTGTACGAATTTAGAATACGTTCTAAAGAGAGAAGTTAAGAAAATATCTAAAGTTACTTTTGACCGATGATTTTATATATTATTATATAACGATTCGTGGAGGAAAATATAGTAATTTCGAACTCGTTTATGCGCACTCCGACTAATTTCATGGGACAACTATCTGACTTTACAATATTTAATGTCGAGAAACACATCGAGATTAATTTTTAAAGTAAGTGGTCATCATGAGGTTTGAACCATAGAAAGAACCCAATAAAAATATTAAATTTGTGGGGAACCATAGAAACAACCCGATAG